GCTTTGGCTTGGGATGAAATTAAAGTGGCAAAGGTGTAGGCTGCTCTTTGAACAGCTGTGTATTCGTCTTCTGTATTTGGCGGTTTGTTCCCCGGCTCCTCCTGCTGCATGTCAAAGTGTCTTTGAGCAAGATACTGATACCCAAAGTGCTCCTGATGCTGTGCACTGGTGTGTGAATGTGAATTAATGAGTTCTGTTTGTGATGGCATTTGCCATTGCTGTATGAATGTGGGTAAATGTGGCATGTAGTGTAGTGCTTTGAGTGGTCTAAAGACTAGAAAGGCACTATACAAGTACAGTCCATTTGTCATATATTTGCTACTGCCATTCAAACACCCTGTCTAACTGCCATTAGTGAGAGGTCACAATGAAATCTATGTGCGAAATGGATTTTTTAGCTCCTGTTGATGATGGTGATGATGATGATGAGAACGAAGATATTATGCATAGATCATCAGCACTGAGCATACACTATGCTGACACACTGCAGGCATTATGGCTGCACCAGTGGAGGCACCCAGCCTTGGCTGACATAAACAATGCTTCAGTTAATGTCAGAAGAAACTATTGCATTTTTATGAACCACAATATTAAGCTTCAGGGGAAATGACTGGCCCTACATTATGCAGCAGGGGTTAGGGTCACATATTTAATGTGATTATTTAATTTGTATATTTGTTTGGTGGCAGTTAATCAGAGTAGTGTTGAGAACAAACTATAGTGGAGACAAACAGCTCAATCAGTGAGGACCAGTGGGGATGTATAAAAAATTTTTTTTAAATACCCTCACCCCCCCCAGGGGAAAATATTATTAAAAAAAAAAAATTTTTTTTTTTTTTTTTTAATTTTTTTTTTTTTTTTTATTTTTTTTTTAGGAACTGAGGAAACTGGAGGACCTGGAAAAAACCCATGCAGACACAGTGCTGCAGGGAGACACTGACTTCATTTTCTTTATCTGTATTGTGAAAACATATACAAATACATGGTACTTAATCAGGAATGTTTCTGTAACTTATAAAACTAAGCTAGTGTCACTTCAAATTTCTAGTAAAAGCTGCTTAATTAAGAATTTTTTTTAACAGAAGAAAACTGAGTTGGTGTTACATAAAGGTTTTGATAAAGCTAGTTTTAAAACAACTGTAAATGAAAATAAATCACTTTAAACTTTCTCAGCTTCAACTAACTGTAAACTAGCACCAGCACAGGTAAGTATAGGGTGAGCTTAACAGAGATTGGGTATTGAAATCATATAATACTAATTCATATAAAATGTATGTAAGATTCCTCAGTTACTGCTGAGAGCACAATTTACCTATAGACACACATACAACGAGAGCGGAAACTGTAATAGAATGTCATTCACAGCAGAACTTCTTCACCAATCTCCTCCATAAACAGTGCACAGCCTCTCGCAGCTAAAGGACATAACAAAGCTGTTGTCACTATCCCTGATTGAGCAGCTTACTTACCCCTACATCTCTCTCTCTCTCTCTCTCTCTCTCTCTCCACACACACACACACACACACACACACACACACACACACACACACACACACACACACACACACAGTAGGGTGGACCCCTGCATCATAATTTTATGAAAAAACAATAAAACAAACACAAGCTTGTGTTATTCCTATAATCTGATTGATAATTTATAGGATAAACTGAAACATGAGATGACAAAAAAAACCCCACTGTTAATGTTAGGGGAAAGGGCCTATGAAGAGGGGGAAAAGCAACCTTTTCACTGGTTGTTCATTTATAGTTTGTATTTATTATTCACTGTGTGTCTTATTGTTAAAATGTCTTGTAATCAGTGACATCTTACAGTTGTGACTGTGCATGCAAACGGCTTTTTTTGGCTTTATTGCTGAAACATGTATTACCTGTAACAGAAACACATGACCTACAGTCATTGGAAAAAGAAGTGTGGGATTTGGAATGAAGAAAGACAGACTTTGAGACAGTCCACCCAGACCCATCGGTCAGACCATCCCACCTGCTGTTGCCCCAGGAGGAGAGGCAGAGAGCCAGATAGGAGCTTGGACTTTAGGCTGCTCCTGGCTAATGTCCAGAATGGACGAAATGGGACTCAGGCTGGTCAAACAACAGGAAATCAGAGTTGTGCCAACGTCTTTACAGAGACCTGCTCCATCAACATCCTGGATCAAGCACTCGACGGACGGGGCCAACAGACCTCAGGACGAGAGGAGGCGGACTCTGTGTTTACATCGATGATGCTTGGTGTTAAAACGCAGTCACTGTGGATAGAAAGTTTATTTTCATGTAAAGATGAAACCATATTATCATCACTATCTTGTTGCTGCTGTTTACACTCCCTCAGATGCAAATTCAAAACATGCACTGCAGAATTATTGCCAGGGTGTATACAATGTATGTATATATGTATATAAATAACTGCATATATTGGTTTATTTTGGTATATTATTACTTAATCATCTGTTATGTTCTATATTCATGTTTAACATGAAGGGA